AACGTGGGGACGAAGCTCAGTCCTTCCAAAGGAGGAAGGAGAGGAAGAAGAGAAGAGAGGCCAGAAGAAAAAGGGGCGTACTTGGGGACCAAGCTCACTTTGTCACAAGGACCTAGGTGCAGGAGAAGATGGGTAAGAGAGGGCCTGGAACCAGACTGATTTCCAGGTTCTAAAACTGTTTATGAGCTGGCTTACAGGAGATTTGCCTATCCTCTTCCAAACACTTTTCTGCTTCCAAACTTATTTGCTGTACCAGAGATGTTAGAGATTCAGAACAGATTACAAAACTGCATTGCATTCAGTCCCTTGCTAGAGGTCCAGCACTGACTGATGCTTTCACCATCTGCCATTACCTTGTTATGTGTATTTGTAAGCAGTAGAACTTCCTAGCTGTGTAAAACTGTTTCTCTAGTAGCTTTTCTTTATTTTCAGGCTCAACTTTCTGTAGTTTCGTATCATATCTGAAACTGCTTCTCTTTTACAATTTTCAGCTATTCTTTTTCTTGTCTTAAATGCTATTATTTAAAAAGTATCTGGTAGAGCCAGGTAAATATCTTCTCTTCAGGCTTTTGAAAAGGATACATACCTTGAGTGGATACATCTTGGAAGTGATTTTTTGCAGAGATACAGGTTGTACCTCTATTTCTATAGGTTCTTGTTTTGTGGCCTGTGTATGTGTGTGAATGTGAATTATTTATACCAGGACTCCAATGGATCATTGCTGAAATGCTGCTTTAAACATAGGAGTATTTTGATCTTCTAAGAGGTTTGAATGCCTTGTGATTTTTAGTGGAGTTTGAAGCTTTTTCCCCTACTAAACTTATAGTTTGACTCTTGCCATATTTTTTTAGCAGAGGAAATAAAATAACTGGTTATAATTTATCTTTAAAATTATGTGCTCAGATGTGAAATTCCTGGAAAATAGATGTTTACATAATGCATCACTATGGCAGTCCTCTGCAAGAGGGCTTGCATCTAAGTGTTCTAATGACATTAAAATATGTTCTCCCTCAGAGGTACTCTTGGCATGTTAACAGGGCAATGTGGAGGAAGCTTCTTTGGCTTCTGCCTATGCTTTACCTGTTCTGTAGGCGAAGTATAGCATTCCACAGAATTAACAGATGTCACACTTTGCAATCATTAATTATATAAAAGGGCAGGAGATCACTGAAGCTGGTAGAAAAATACTTTCTACCTTGAAATAATGTTCTTAGAATTCTGGAAATAAAGCTCTTCAGTTTCTGTTCATTACTGTACAGTCTGAAGCATTGAATTGCTTTTAGGCACAGACAGCTGGAAAGGAGTTGCTTGCTAACCATGGTTGCTCTTGAACATATCTGAAACTGCTTCTCTTTTACAATTTTCAGCTATTCTTTTTCTTGTCTTAAATGCTATTATTTAAAAAGTATCTGGTAGAGCCAGGTAAATATCTTCTCTTCAGGCTTTTGAAAAGGATACATACCTTGAGTGGATACATCTTGGAAGTGATTTTTTGCAGAGATACAGGTTGTACCTCTATTTCTATAGGTTCTTGTTTTGTGGCCTGTGTATGTGTGTGAATGTGAATTATTTATACCAGGACTCCAATGGATCATTGCTGAAATGCTGCTTTAAACATAGGAGTATTTTGATCTTCTAAGAGGTTTGAATGCCTTGTGATTTTTAGTGGAGTTTGAAGCTTTTTCCCCTACTAAACTTATAGTTTGACTCTTGCCATATTTTTTTAGCAGAGGAAATAAAATAACTGGTTATAATTTATCTTTAAAATTATGTGCTCAGATGTGAAATTCCTGGAAAATAGATGTTTACATAATGCATCACTATGGCAGTCCTCTGCAAGAGGGCTTGCATCTAAGTGTTCTAATGACATTAAAATATGTTCTCCCTCAGAGGTACTCTTGGCATGTTAACAGGGCAATGTGGAGGAAGCTTCTTTGGCTTCTGCCTATGCTTTACCTGTTCTGTAGGCGAAGTATAGCATTCCACAGAATTAAAACAGATGTCACACTTTGCAATCATTAATTATATAAAAGGGCAGGAGATCACTGAAGCTGGTAGAAAAATACTTTCTACCTTGAAATAATGTTCTTAGAATTCTGGAAATAAAGCTCTTCAGTTTCTGTTCATTACTGTACAGTCTGAAGCATTGAATTGCTTTTAGGCACAGACAGCTGGAAAGGAGTTGCTTGCTAACCATGGTTGCTCTTGAAACTATCCTGTTCTCTCTACAACTGAGGTGTTCTATAATATTCATTACCTTTTTCAGGGATACTCAATACAGCTATGGCATTTTGCAGAGTATCTGAAACATGATAGTGTTGCTGAGAGGGCAGTGTGGTTAACAAGCAGTGAGCTAAGGCTTCTTGCTAAGATCATGCCAGACTGCAGACTTTAAGGGGAGCAGAGTTGCAGAAAATGTTAGTGGCTGAAACGATAGAGTGCTTCCTATTTTTGGTATTTTTAATTCTAATTTTAGAGGGTAGGGGGATAAAAATTAGGCTAAAGTGAAGAGCTAAGCTTAGGCTAGAAAAGTCCTGTTCAAGTCTTCTCCATGACACTGTTCTGGTAGCAACAGTGCTGCTATTCCAGCTGCTTACATGACTCTGTGATCAAGGGACCTTGAATCTTCATCTTTATCACCTTCCATGTGTTCTCCACAGGAGGTAATTCCAAATTTATGCAAGAATGACATTGTGGGAATTGCAGTGAAATTCTCTAGCATGAGTAAACTGACCTATAATTAATATCAAGTGAACGCAGTCATGAAAAGATTATACAGTGATTATTCACCCTTCTGCATTTATCTTTGAGCATAAGGAATATGCACAGCAGCAGAAGGTTGCGGTGCTGAATTGCAGAGACTGGATGAAGCTTTGGACTAGTGTTCTGACAGTTCAGTTGTGATCTTATGGTGTATTCTCAAGGATATATGGTGAAGCCTTAGTTGGCTTTAAACTGAGCACTGATTAGTCTCAGACTGTAACTATTGCATGGATGATTTTTACCTTGTTCAAGTTTTCATGCTGGTTGTGTTACTGATTTTACAGAAGGTGACACTGGATGTGGGGTAGTCATAGTCCTTTAGCAGTTATCTCTCAAAACCTTGTAAGTTAAATAGGGGTGAGCCTGGGAACAGACACTTTTTATTCATGACAGTATTGTATTTAATGCCTCAACATGGTGTTACAGAATGGTATTAAGACACCGGAGATGCCACCTCACAGTTGTAAGGAAGTTTTCTGAAGTTTGCTGAGCAAATAAGTCTTGTCACCTTGCCACTCCTAAAGAGAGGTGGTTTTGACTTCCCAACAGAAAAAGGCAACAGAGAAGTAACACAACCATAATACAACAAAGAGAGTAATAACCTTCCTGTTAATTAATCTAAACAGATTACAGGTAAGAAGTCTTTAGGTTCCTGAATTGTCATGCTGGTGACTGAAATAGACAGTTTTTCTGCTAGTGCTTTCAAATCATTCCAGTTGCTCTTTTCTTGGAGCAGCAATAGATAATACTGCTGTAGTACGAACGTACTCTTAAGTCAGCATGTTTTGAACTGTTTTCAAATGCATGCTGCTGTCTTAATTAAGATGATATGCAGCTAACCTCTGCCCAGGTCTTCAGGGTCTGCTTGTAATTGGGGGGGGGGACGGGACGGGACAGGGAGAAAGAGAGAGAAGGAGCAAAAAATAAAAAGGAAGGATGAAGATTTTATAACCTTGAGGCAAACATAACAGGCCTTGAAATTATTCTGGTAGCTATTTATCTTTCTGTTCAAATTGAGCTGTGCTTTGTCAGTAACAGCAAATCTTTAGTCTGTTTTTAGCAAGGGAAGATTGCTCTGAGGAGTCATAAGGAAGCAAACTAAATTGCTATGTCCTGCTGTGCAATGAAGGGCAATTCCCAAGACCCTTTAGATAACTATGACTGTAAAGTGAAGGCTAAACTGAAGATTACTGCTGCTTATCACTTACAACTTTGCTATCTCTGCATATAGAGAACAGAGTATGTGTTTTCCCAGCTCCATGGAAATCTTCACTTCCTCACTAGTTGTCTACCCATATTATAAGAGCTTTGACATTTACTTTTAGAGGTGATCACACTGCTAACACAGTTCCTTTTCACTCACCAGCTTTCCCTTAATAAGCTGCTCTATTTATAGTATTTATCCTAACTATGCATGCTATACACATGGTTAATATAGATACAACATACATTAGTTAGTGGGTTGTGTTACATAGCTGAGTATAGTATAGAGGGAGTAAATCAGAACAGACCCACACACTGAATTGCATCTCTGTGATATAACCATGTGGTTGTCTGTCTTGACAAGTAGGGTTCAGCACTGTACTCTCTGGATCAAAGTTCATAGCAGGGTATTGCATGTGCCAGAACGATTAATGGGGGGAAAATGATGGACTTTCAAGACAGTTGAAAACTGCACAGGATACTTCTAGTGTAATGCCTACAGCACGGTTATCAATCAACTGAACATGTGCTGAATCAGGTTTAGACCTTGTGACTTTGCTATAACAATAGTTTGGGGATAAGTAGGGCATCCCGGTTAGGTAGAAAATAGAGGAAAAATACATACTGAGGCAAAAAAAACCCTGATCCAGTAAAACTTTGAAATCCTGTAATTGAAGCCATCTTAGAACTGCAGTGATTCTCATGGAAAATAAGAATCATGAGCAAGAACATCTGTATGCTCATATCTTTCTTTCTCTGTAAGGGAAGGATTGTAATGAATTATGTGTCTTATCAAAGAACAATGCAAGTTAGTAATGGAGCTGGATGAGGTGTCATCTAAGTTTTCTCTCCTTTCCATAATAAGTCGATGCTCTTGTGTGTCCAGTTGAGATCATTCAGACTATCCACAGATCTTTTTACTCCTTTCATTCAATTTCTGTCTATTCTAAGTGTAGGTTTACCTTTTCACCAAAACTATGACGTGTTTCATATTGAAGTTCAGAGAAAGGCACCAGAAATCTCCCAGTTCAGACTGTATCAATAACTGAACAATAAAACTTTGCTGTGTGTTGATATGTCAGAAAGTTCTGCTGCTTACTAAAATTGTTTCTGATGTCATGAAAGTACTGCAGGGAACAAATAGGATGATAGTAATGAATACGTAGAATGGGGACTACTAATAAGCTCAGGTGCCTGGTGACATACCTGTAAATGCAGGTGACGTCAAAGTAGGGGTTGGGTTTTGAGTTTTTCACGTGTTTGTTTTTATGGGTTTCGGGGGGGGTTTTGTCTGTAAGTAAAAGAAACAATGGCGTGACTTATGATTTTAGTTACCTGTTTTTCCATAATCTAGAACTTATGCTTTTAACTGTCTGTACTTCAATGCAGTTTTTTCTTTAGAGGAGAAATATTGGGGTTTATAATATAGAGGCATGATTTTGCCGTTACAATGACTTTAGCATGTTATTGTCCCAGTGAGCGATCTTTGACTTTCATTATTCACTTGTATTTCACGTGGAAATGTTTTGGGAGATATTTATCTCTCCTGCTGAGCACTTTATTTTTTTACCCACTCTGGTAGGTTTGCCTTGGTTTAAAAAGAAAATGTTTCATCTGATTTTTTGCGGTGGTGCTTTCTGTTATTCTGCAAGCATAGCTGTTGGTTATCAGCAGGGACTGTTTGACTTTTCTTGTATTTTAAGGTACTGTAAAGATGTTGCAAAGTGTCTTGCTAATGGAGGACTTCAGATCTGTGTAATTAAGGTGGATACATGCATACCCAAGTAGAACAATAGAGAATATAGAAGGGGGAATGAAAATTGGTTGTGAGCATTGTACATTTTCTCCCATCTTTTCACTATTTCAGTCTGAAAGCTCTCATGGAAGGATACAAACAGTGGTCATCCAGTGCACCGAACCTTGGGAAGATCCAGAGAACTGCGCCTGCTTTTCCAGGATTCACCAGCTTAGCAGAGATGGGTAAAGGAATACCCTGGACTTTATATTCTCATCCCCACTTCCATTCACGTTTGAGTGAATCTCTCCTTTCCTGCCCTTTACCTGGTACCTTACAGCAATGTTTTCATTTTGGTGGTATCCATTTTTCTTTTATTCTTGGTGAAGTAACTACTTTCTCCTTCTGGATTTCCTTTTTGTTCATCTCTCTGCTTGTGCTTCTTACCTGTCAAGCTAACAAGCTTCTTTTAATCCCCCTCTAGCTCCATCCATGCTACCTCTCAGCTCCTTTCCTGGTAATATTTAGATGTGCAGTGTGGTTACACCTTTGCTTGCAAGGAGAGATCCTTATAATTTTCCTACCTTTTGCTCCTCACGGCCAAACATATACATTTACTCTAGAAGTAACTGAGGTGTAGACTACTTCTGAAATGCTGCTCTGCAATTGATCCCAAGTAGATTAATGTGTCACTAATTTTGTCTGCTTTGATAGTGTTTCAAGTTACTTGTCTCAGCCTATCTGCTTTGCAGACAATAGCCTGTGAGTGTTTGGCAGTTGGTGAATGATGCTTGCAATCAGGACAGTTGCATCTTCTGAGTAGAAGCTTATTTTCACGTATATTTGTAAGACAGTGCAGTTTGCCAGTGAAAATGTTACATCCATGCAAAGTCTGTTTTCATTTGCTTTCCAGATGATGAAGATAGCGAATGTCTTAATGGGGAGGGCAAAGTGCACCCTTCACCTGGGCACAATCAGTCATACCTCTGCATCCCATTTCAGAAGAATGAAGAGTGGGATGGCCCTTCTAGTGATGCCAATGAGGAGTCCACACCAGTGAACTCTGCTACTAGTACCCCACAGCTGACACCCACCAACAGCCTCAAACGTAGTGGTTCCCAACACAAGCGATGTGAAATTGCATTGCTTGGCTGTGGAGCAGTGCTGGCTGCTGCAGGCCTGGGTTTTGATCTGTTAGAAGCAGGGAAGTGTCAGCTGCTGATTGAGGAGGAGCCAGAGGCACCCAAGGAAGAGAAGAAGAAGCGTGACAGCATTTTCCAGCGAGCTGGACGCCCACGCAGGAGCACTAGTCCACCTTCCCGAAAGATCTTCAAGAAAGATGATCCCATGTTGTTGCTAGGCGAGCCATCCACATCCCTCACCCTTCTTTCCCTGTCTTCCATTTCCGAATGTAATTCCACTCGGTCCCTGCTGCGCTCAGACAGCGATGAGATTGTGGTGTATGAAATGCCTGTCAGCCCAGTGACAGTCAAGGCTCCCTTGCCAGCCATTACCAACCCACTAGTCAATGTCCAGATTGAGAGGTTCAAACAAGATCCCAACCAGTCCCTGACTCCCACACACGTGACGGTGTCTTCCCACACCCATCAAAGCGGGCACAGGCGCACACCTTCTGATGGGGCCATCAAAGGGAGTGGACTAGTTGTCAATGGGTGCCCAACCAGTGGATGCCCTTCCAGTAGCTGTTTAACTGGAGCACTGGGAGCAGGTAGGTTTTCAGCCATCTTCCTTTTCCTCTTCAGAATAAAGAGCCAATCAGTATAATTACTTGTTAGGAAGTAAACATGTTGCTTATACAGCATCCATTGTGATGGCCAGCCCATAAGAAGAGCTTACAGATGCTATCTTTACACAAATAATAACAGAATAATGCAGTAATGGTCTCTGTTCCAGCATCTCTGCGCTAAGGAACTCTCTGTGCTCCCCTGTGCTGTGAGGCAGAGTGTAGTAGTGTTTCTTAGACAAAGGTGGTACCAAAGTACAAATATTGTGCATTTTTAGCAGTTCCTCGGGATTCCATCTCCGTTTCCTTTATACACTTGTTCGTATTGCTGTTACAATTTCAAAGTAAATTCTGTTCTGTAAGGGAGTGAAAACTGGATCTCTAAAGCAGTTTGGGGCTGTGCCACTGTTGCTCTTATTCCTTTGCAAGCAAGAGGCATCTTCCTGGGTAGGTAGTGTTCTCATTATTGCAGTCTTTAGCAGTGGCTGTGACTTGATAACTTTAAAAATGCTTTCCTTTTTTCTTGCCCTAGTAATTCAGAGAAAAAAAAGTCTAGAATAATAAACTAAAATCTGATTTAATTAGACTTTTCCCAATGGTAAAACAAAATGTGAGGTTGTCTGTTGAATGGCAGACTGCAGTAAAATGTGGGTTAATACATCTGAGGATACTCATTAAAATGGTATTCATGAAAATTTACAAGTTAAGTTGTGTTTATTTAAAAAAACCACAACCCAAAAAACCCAAACACCATCCCCCACCCCTAAGCGAAAACAAACCAAGAAGCATCCACAGTAGGTGGTGTTAAATGGCTCTTCCAGGAAGTTGGTCCTGCTCACTGCAAACGGGTGTCACACATCCTGCTGTGCAAGTGTCTCTCTGATCCATTCAAGCTGTTAATGGGTAACATGCCCTCCGAGGGATTTGGAGAGTCCTCACCTCTGGTAGGAGGTCAAATCCATGCTCTCCAGTCTGAAAATCGAGGAAACCAAATGAGGGAATGAACAAAACTTGCAGCTTGTGCTAGGTCAGTGAAACAGGCATCTTGCAATGTGTTGAGAACAGTGTAGGGATAAAGAAGCCAACTATTCACTTCAGATTGGTGTAATCTTGAAGATATGGAGTTTGTAGGTTCTTAATGGAGGCTTTCTGCTTTGAAAATGTTTTCACAGTGTACATACAATGAACTAAGATCTGTTGGAACCATTTAGCAGTGACATCTAACATGTTTCCCTCTTCTCTTACATTCTCTGTTTTGGATAGGTGTATTAAAAACACCTAGTCCAAGTAGAGATCCCAATGAGGTCCCTCGCCTGCCAGACCCCAACCTTGTTTTTCCTCCAACCCCGAGACGATGGAATGCACAGCAGGACCCCACACTGGAAAGACCCAAGACATTGGAGTTCCTGCCCCGGCCACGTCCTGCAGCCAGTCGGCAACGGCTTGATCCCTGGTGGTTTGTGTCACCCAGCAATGCCAAGGGTGAATCTTCTGCCAACAGTTCGAGTACTGATACTCCAAGCAATCTGGACTCTTGTTTTGCTAGTAGCAGCAGCACTGTAGAAGAGAGACCTGGACTGCCTGCACTGCTTCCTTTCCAGGTGGGTCTTCCTGTAGAGGAGCGGACACTGTTGGACATAGATGCTGAGGGGCAGAGCCAGGACAGCACCATTCCGCTATGCAGAAGTGAACTTAACACACAAAAAGCTGCAGCATATGAACTGAAGCAAGAATTCTGGTCTTAGTATGAAATCTGCTGGGGACAGTGAGCCCCTCTAAATTCAATCCTACTTTTTGCACTGAGAATGCACTTTGAAGACAGATGAGATGGAGGGATGCTACAGAGATCATATGGTGCTGCCTCTGCTGAAGATGTGTTGTTCGACTGCCTGATTTTTGTCTGCAGTTGGATGAAACGTGGCAACTCTGAGCTGCTGACTTTTGCTGTGGGGTTTTTCTGTAGTCTTCCCTGCCCTCTTATTGCAGTTTGAATCTGCAATGAGCTAAAATTATCATATCAAAGTCTTTGTTACTGACCTTGTAGGATTTGGCACTTGCAGTAAGTATATTGGTATCTATCCTGGTATTAATCAGTATTTTCAAAACTCAAATATTACACTACAGCAGACACCAGTGTTTGATGTTTTCCCAAGGAATCCAGGACAGAAACAAATAAATGTCTGGAGACTACCTTCTCTGAAATGTGTTCAGATCATTAGATAGGCCTGGGAATCACAGTACCCCCACTGAAGGAGCAGAAGTAGCTATCTTAGACTCGCTTGTCCTCTTTTGCTCATGTGATAGTGCAAGGTGGAACAGATCGCAGGGGAAGGGCATGGCATCTCCATTGATGGAGGTCTTTGAGAACAGACTAACTAGACTGTTGAGAATGGGTAGGTGTAGTTGATCCTGGCTTCAAGGCAGGTTGGATGAACTTCAATGATCTCTTGAGGTCCCTTTCAGCCCTATTTTTCTATGACCCTGTGCTTTCTAAAAGACGAAGGCTTATGGTATGGCTGTTCACTCTAGCTTGGTTTTCTGTTTCAAACTTTGGTTCCATCAGCCTCCTTTTCCCACCCCCTGTATACCAGGCTCATAGTCAAGCTGCCTCAGCTTTGGGAAGGGAATTAGGAGGAACTCGTTCTTTAAAGCTGTGTTGGCTTGCAGAAGTAAGTTATGTGTCCCCTCACTCTTTTTTTTTTTTTTCCCTTCATGTTTTTCCTCCTTCCTTATGCTTTTTAGAAGTGGCCCTTGAAACCCAAGACTGTTCTTATGCACACTGATATTTGTTTAAGGCTCTTTTGAAATTGAGGCTTGTTAGTAGTTAGAGTATGCAAACAGGAATCAGAGCATCTGGATTCTGTTTTATTTTGTCACTGACTCACTGTGTGACCTTGGGCAAATAATGTAACCTCTGTGCCTGAATTTCCCCATCTGTAAATAATAGGAATAATACCTACCTCACAGGGGGAGGGGTTGGGACATATGTAATAGGTATAAAGTCCTTTGAGATCTTTGAGTGAAAGGCACTATAGACATGTAAAACTTTATTCTTGCTCAAGTATGTAAAAAATACTAACTCTGGAGCAAGATCAGACACCTGTCTTGGAGGAGGAAGTCACACAAATAGGGTATGCCTATGCTCAGTTTTCTGTACAGAGACCGCAAGCATGTCTGTGCCCCTAATGAGAGCTTCATTCTTCCCCAGTTTTGGCATTATAAATATAGGATGTGGCCTTTATGAGTGTAATAGGGTAGTCTGCTTTATTGCAGGGTACAGCATATCTGTTCACTCTTTTTTTACAGATCTGTGCTCGTTTTGCTAATCTGCTGACCATTTGAGTGCAAATAACTGATTTGACAGTGTTCAACCTCTTAGGGCAGTCCAGTCCTGTTGTGAAGACAGTGTAGCTGAATACTTTCTCGTAGCTGTCAGCACAGAGAAGCCGTGCATTTAGATGTTTGTAACCTGATGTTAAAAACCAGCATGTGTGGGGAAGTACTGCACTTAAGGTTTTTTAATTCTGTTTGAGAGCTAAAACCAGCATGTTACCATTAGTCAAGTGCACCCTTTTTTTCAAGCAATTATAGTATGTTTTTGTGTAGAAAGGTCACACATTTCTTGTTTATCACATTCCATGAAGTGTGTTTAATGGCAGAATTACTTTTTGCTGCCTCCCCCATTGAATACTCCAGAGCTAGCCTTAATGATGCTACACTAGCTGCTGAAGCTGGATCGACTGTTGACTGTGTAGGCAAGGTATTCTGATGTGGGGCTAAGATACTTGAAAAAGAAAACTTATATTTCTGACACTTCTGCTAAATATAGGTCTTTAGCATTATTGATTTCTTAAGCGTTCATCCTTTTGCTTTCCATTTCAGAAAAGTCAGTTTGTGATCCAGAGACTAACAAAAAGGCAAAACCCACCCAAACAGATGCTTAATTTCTATTGTGCTATAGAAACAAACTCAAGGAAAGCCCAGTCAGGGGCTGTGTCAGAGGGACTTAAAAGCAGGAAATCAGAAGTATCTATTTTTCATAGTCTCCCTTACCATTTTAAAAAGTCTGAAACAAAACTGGATCAGCTATTCTGAAATGTAATGTTTTCTATCCAAAAAGTATCATTACACATGTCCTAGGAAGCATCTTCTGCTCTGTAAAGACATCACCTGAAATAGCTCCATTTGAACAGAAATCTTTAAAATCCATTTTGTTGCATGGAATGGGAGGTTACCTTTCTTTCTAGGACATACTGTTTTAACTCTGCCCACTGAACTTCCTGGTAGTTGGCCAGTTGCTTTCACCAAGTGAACCATAAGGTTTCTGTCAAGTTCCCAGCAGGCAAGACAGCTGTAAAGCCAACTTGTTCTGTCAACTCTTGCTTAGGAAAGTTGAGGATGAAGTATCAAAACCCCTTCCCCCTCTCTCCATTTCAGATAATTACTTGGTGAAAGTGGTGTATAGCTGACCTATCAGAAGTATTTTGCTTCGAAGAGCATCAGGTGGACTTTGCTACATTAAAGGAACCGGGTAGGACAGATGGCAGAATCGAGGATCCAGATCATGGTTTCCAAACTGGATATTCTCTATTAGAAAGCTGCCAGAAAGACTAGGTAGAAGCATAATGTTTGGTGTTTGGGTTTTTGGTTTTTTTTAAATGCTCATTGGATGCAATTATCTTCATTGACTCTAGCATGCGAAATAAAATGGGGTAGTCTTTGAGCATCAACCCATAACTGTCTCCCAGTTGGAGCCCTGTGGCTAACCTGAGGTACCAGGCAAGAGGAGTCTGTAGTAGACACAAAGCTATTTGCTTTAGCAGGTGGTGGGGTATTCTCTGACAAAGCTGTTGCAACTGGTGTCATGGGGCCTGTTTAAGCTAGCTCATAACCTCTCCCCTATACCCATCTATCCCATCCTGGCTTGATTTCTTTCCTTTCTTAATCTGTTGAGTTTTCTCCTTCCCAGTTGTGGGAGCTGTGGTGCTCCAAATCTCCAAAGGAGTACTTCACTGTAGTCCACTAGATACTGAGAAGGTATGAGCCTGTTAGCTCACAAATCTTTTTTTCTACTGTTTATTAGTATTCCCATTTGTCAGGGAGACAAAAATTTCAGAATAGAGTTGATTGACATAGCTTTCTAGGAGTGTTCTTGAGGAGGATAGTGAAAATCTTGCTATAAAAAAATAAATAAATGTTTTGTTTCCTAAATATCTGAATAAGTTGCACTTTTTTTTCTGAGAAAATGAGAAGAAGATAACATGAGAGCACAAGATCACTGAGCAGTCTAAAACATAATGACAAAAGAATGGGCTAAAATGTGCTAAAGCAATTACAGGGCTCACAAAGAGGTAGTGACAAATTTTTAACTGATAGTAGTAGGACTGTTGCTGAGAGAAATTTCTCTGGTCTGGAAATATATATTTTCTTTTAAATAGTCAGCTGGCAGTATGTATCGCTAATTAATGTAACTGATGTGCTGATTAGGAAATAGGAAAAAGTTTGCCAGCCCTTCAAATTCCTTGTAGCCTATTTTTTTTCCTGTAAAACTGGGGGGAAAGCACAGGCGTAGCAACCAGTGCAAAAAATTACAATTTTTTTTTGATAAATTTCTACTGGTTTCACAGAAATTGAGTGTGGGACAGGTAGAGAAAAGAAAGCTTTTGTGTCAAAACTAAAGTGATAATAGTTGTGGACTTTTTTCTAATACTGTTGCTTCCTATGGACTGCACAATGCTCTGTTTTGCCAGCGAAGTAGGTCTTACCTCCTTTCAGTCCTTCTCAGAGGTGCAAACGTAACTTTTTATAGGTATTTTTTCCCTTCAGGTTATTATTGCAATGGGTTGTTACTCAGTATGGGGCAGGGAACCTCAGTGAAAATATTCTTTTTGTAATGGTTTTCTAACAAAATGAGTATTTTCCAAGTGAGTTTTTCATCATTCGTGTGGAAAGACCTGTTCTGGTTCAGCATGTTTTTATGATGAAGTATTTTTCTGTACCTCTAGGAATGGGAGTAGCTGCCTTCCTCTTCACAGCATGCTGTGATCTTAAGTCTTTATGGACAATACTGCATAGAGATGTTACTTTGATTTGTCATGAAACTGGATACCTCTCGTTCTGTTGAAGGTGAGGTAGTAATGGTCAAGTAAAGAAAGGTCTTTCCCATCTGGAGTGTTCTTTTAAATAGGAAGTGACAGGAAACCTCTCATCTTGAGTCACCTTTCTATCTTGACCTTAACTTTTATTTGAAACTTAATTAGTCTCTGTGGGATGAATATGGGAGCTGGAGTCCCGTTAGATGTATGGAACCAAACCTAATACCTTATCCCAAAATTCAATGATAGCCTGTTACTTCCATAAGTAATTTTAAGCCAATATTAATGGGTTTGTTTCTTCATGTTTTTTGAAAACTTTCTCCTTGGAAAAAGTGCTTATTGTTTTCTAATCTTTTCCATACGTTTTGGAAATATAATCAAGAACTCTTACCAACTCTATGGCAAATAAGGAGGCTTATATCTTGCACAGTGATACAGGTCCTCCTTTTGGCTTCCCTTTTTCAGTATGAAACAAGGACATTTGTATTTGGAAATGAAGATTTCTGATCCTTATCCTGTCACTGCAGAACAATTTCTTGCCTTCCATATTCATAACTCACTTAAGGCTATCATTTGGGTAAAACTGGACATTAAGAGTGAGGGAATAGGCATGTGTTAAAACATATTTGTAAACAAGCAATAAATACAGCATGTCTGTGCAAAGAGAACCAAAACATATTCATGCTGTTACAGAGGATAACTTTCAGACTTTATAAACCTTTGGTTGATCATATATTTAAGATATCTGTAGGAAAGAATGCCTTCCTATGTTTTTCTGTTAAGTTTCCTATTGTAAGGTTAGAATAGGGTGGTTTGCACAACCAGTTATGTCTTATCTAGCTCGACAGAAAGGATCTTTAGCCAAATTTTTATCCTTTTTTTTCTACTTCCAATCCAGTTTGTGGTTTAGATTTTCCTTTTTTTT